AATACTTTTTCCCACAGTGCCAGCCTTTACTTCCAAAGAAGAATAATTTTCAGACGTTCTACAAGTAATGGATTGCATTTCAGAACATTAGGACAACCTCAAAGGATCAGACCAAGAGCCCATCTAACGCAAGAGATTCCACATAGCCATCGTCACTATCTGTCTGTGAGAGGCCTGTCCTCCTCTATGAATATGCCTGACCCTTACGCAAATAAACAAACCATAAGCTAAAGGCCATTACCATCTCTTTCACTGTGGTTTTCTCTGTAAACTTCCCATATGCTTCTTGTAAGCTCATGAGAAAATCATTCCCACCACAGAAATGGTCTTACAATTCCACATTTTGGCAATTCCATTCTTACAGCAAAGGTAAGAATGTAAACAGGGTAGAATCAGAGAATAGAAGAAAAGATGTGAGTATAGCCACTCTGAGTGCTTTTTAGATAGGACAATATTTTAAATAAAAATTTTCAGAATATTTTAAGCAGTTATCCTCACAACAGCCTTTCAAAGCAAACCAGTATTAATTATTCCTAAACTGCAAATGGAAACAGTTTACTGAAGATCACTGTATCCACCCAGGAAGTAAAACTGTGCCCCATGCTTTTTACACTATGCCACCTGCAGCATAACACTTTTCCGATATTTCTTTTATTTGATAATGTTTCTGATTGTTAGCTGCCCAGAGCCTACTTTATAAACAAACAAACAAATAATCAGGCATAATAAGGTAGATCTTAGGTCTATGGTTTATGGACTTCCCAAAAGTCACTGGAATACCATTTTAACAAGTAGCCCCATTGCTTTTAAGAGTGCTATTATACAGTGGACGAAAATAGTTTTGTAGGGCCTGTATAATTGCTAACAGCTAAGTGCTAATGACATTATATAAACAGGCTTCAACACAGTCTATTCATAAATACTACATTCCCAGGTTAATATAAATCCCACAAGATCCAAGCAGTCAGGGGAGCAAAAGACAGGACTTTCCAGACCATGGACAAAATTATACAAAAAGAGTGATCATCTTTATTGCAATGGCTTCATGAGCCAGAATCATTCATATGGAACGATTTCCTATAAAGGAATAAACGTTTGGATGTTCCAATATACAATAGTAATCCCTCTAATGATGTAAGAAAATATGTTGGGGAATCTATGCCACTTCCCCTGGGAAAGGACCCACACGCACTAACTAATGTCCAGCTCCATCTAGGCTCTTTCAAAGGACCACTATAACATCATCCAATGCACCAGTCACCATCTTCTGCTCTCCCTGTCCACATGCATGAACATGCTACCCTCAACATGTCCAGACACTGAACGCTCCAAAAGGTTTCAACTTTGCTAGTACTATAATCTCTAGCACACATATATAGCATTAGAACAGTCAGGTTTGCTTCACCTGCATTATCTAAATAAAGATTTAAATCCCAGAGAGCCCAACTTTACCACCTTAGATTGCACATGGGTGACTGAATATGGGACTTTTTGCATGTCAAGCTTGTCCTTCCGTTATTCCTTAAGAAAAGCAGGAGTGATAGAGAGGACTGCATTGCCTTGAACTGCCAGTGTTGGTACATGAGCAATGGTCATATTTGGAGAGAAGAAAAAGCTACTGGATCCTTAAGCCCATGGGCTGAAGAGAAAAAAAAAAAGCACCTCAACCCAGCTTTGAACCTGTATCCTGACCTGCCAAGCACAACATATAACAATCTATCAATGTTGGATCTCCCTTCTCTTAGGAGGAACTTTCACACCAGTCTTTCCCAACCAGGTGCCCAGGACTACACAACATTTCCAGAATTCCCCACATATCTCAGATATAAGGGGTAGTCTAGATTAACAATGGATGGAAGTTTTTCACTGTCATTAGGCACATATTATGGAGAAACTTATTTTTAAGAGGGCAAACAGAATTCTCTTGGTGCAGCTTAGCCTCCTCTACCGAGAAAATGAAAATACCAAAATTGACTAAGTAGTGCCAGCCTTTGGAGCAAGCCTTAACCAGGTCACTCTTCTTGGGAAGGCCAGAGCCTACTTGGAAACTAGTGGGATTGTGGAGAATTGCCAAATCAGTCCAGACTTGGCAAACGACATTAATCCAACACCTTATTAAACTACTTCTGATGGAACAGATGGGACCAGCCTATCTTCAGCTTGTTCAGTTCCAGCCTAAATGAGATCTTTAATAATGTTAAATAATGTCTTCAACAATACCAAAGTCATTTACCCAGTTCCTGCAGACTGGAGTCTAGACAAATCACCAGTTTAGTCTAGCCTGGTTTAAGATGGAGCAGTTGATTCTACTGGATAACAATTTCATCCTTTTCCTTCTTTCTTGTTATCAAGATTACACACACACAGAATTCCTGGCAGACCATCATGTACAACATTAAAAGCTTGGAGGCCAATTCATAAACACCTAAATCATCCTTCCCCCAATGGTGCAGATTCCTTCTGTCTGCAACGACCTCCCAAACTGTAGTCCAAGCGTCTTTGCCTGAGGAACACTTGTGGATTTACGTTTGCAGGTCAGATGTGTTTTTATCCAGGTCACTATAGCATCCACAATGTTTGTAAACTGTTTGGACCACTTTAAATAAGGGAGAGATCTTGGTTTAAATTATTTCTTACAAAACTTCCAATAGGAGAATACTCCTGTGAACTTTAGACATGTTTCTGGCACACCATGAGCTAAAGTACCTTTAGACTCACTAGGTGGTCTTAGCCAATGTAACAGCCAATAACAGAGAACAGCCTCAAGAGAACTGGGTTCTAATTCCAAAAAAGCATGGGATGGTCTCAGCCACCTGCTTTCTTTATCTAATCAATTTTATAGGCTTTGAAAATACTGGCTTTATTATACCATCTTCTTCATTTTTTTAATATGATTGATAACTTGTGCTCACAATGTTGCTCACAAAGCAACAATAAAAAACATAAAAACTATAAAAACCACCATAAAAGTCCTAGAGCTCCAACAGCAACACCTCCCCACATATCCACATTCAACTGTATTGGATTCCAGCATCACTCTACCCCATTTGCAGGAAGAGCCAGATCTTCAAGGCCTTCTGGAAAGCAAGGAAGGAGGGGTCTTTGTAGACTATATTTACACAAGTTATGATAAAATAGCTTTTGGGTGGGGTGGAGTGGGGGGTTACCTATCAAAAACAGTAACAGAGCTCTCAGCCATGGGCACTGATTAAGGAGTTCTGAGATAACATAATCATAAATCAAACCAGCCACCGCTTGTAAAAGAAGAGGACATCCATTCTGTTTTTGTCCTTTAAAATGTGATTTCATTCCAAACCTCTTCAAGGCATTTTAATTCATTGTCGGATTCATTAATTTAGGCAAGCGGAAGCTCTTAATCTTCCCCAGTCCCCTCTCACTGACTGCCATTCAGTCAATCAGAAAGTTATTACTATGCCATAGGAAGACAATAAACAAGTTAACCAACCAATTTGAGAACATGACATGAACAGCATGCATTCTGCTTGCTCACAAGCCTTATTCAACTGAAAAAAGGAAGGAGAGGGGCAAAATGGCTTTCCTTGAGGCTCTAAAGATCACTTTCAGATAGCTTCCCCTGACTCCCACCTGGGAAAAAAATGGAACAGAAAAGGAATCTGAGTTACATCTCCAGGTTAAGCATTAAGTGGAAAAGGATAAGTGGTATTAAATTTAGGAGAATATTTACACAAACCTCAAGAAATCAAGTAAAATTTCGGGAGCGGGGGAATTTAACTTCCAATGGGAAATGATATAGATGAAGAACTTTCTATTATCTTACTTTTCAAATACACTAATGCCCATTTCCTACGGTTATTGGCTGTGACATCTTGACCCAATGTAAATTTAATGCTTCAAATCTGTAAATGTGGTTGAGGAAATGGGTGCCATCAGACCAGAGGGATCATTCCCTTTCTCTTGCTTAATAGCCTTAGTCAAGACTAAGGGTCATGCTGACCCAACTGTTAACTCACCAGACAGATTGTGATTCCCGATATATTAGCTTTCAACAACATTCATACTGACTTACATATTAACACAATCATGCAAAATTTGTGTTTTCCCAGCCGAAGTAGGTATTCACCCTTTTCCAAATTCCCATATACAGTCTGCACAAACAAGTATATATTAAAGGAAACAATTCACCAAAATATGTGTATATTAATACATTCATTAACATGAGGACTTTTGAAACAAAAAAGCACTTACTGATCCCCATATGGGAAAGAAATAGGAGAAATGAATTAAAAAAATAAACAAACCTTAACAGCTTCACCCATTCCTTCCAGCAACATCGTAACAAAGGAGGGGCTTCAACCCAGGAAACTGTCAACACATTCATAGCTTAGGCTGCTAGCATTAATGGGGTAGGTATGAGTGGACACAGTGCTATAATTCAGAATACCGAAACCCAGCCCCATACCCAGATTCTCTCACAGAGACAGAGATGAAGATGGGACCAACCAACAGGCCTAGGGTCAGACCTGGTGTTGCCCCTGCTCAGTGAAGCTGGTTTGCTTCCCTGTAGATGGATACGGACACTCATCATATAATTTTGACATTTAAAATAGAGAATCTATTTCTATAATAAACAAGCTTCTTGTTCCCTGGAAAATGTGCCTAGTCTCAAAGCCACAACAATACATGCAATTTAATTCCTGTAATGGTAAGGATGCCATGGTTTTAATGTAATTAAAGGATGTGGAAAGGATGCTCTTTTTGGGGGTCAAGACTGTCAGGATGGTAGAAGGTGTAATGGATGGTATGATGATCAGAGTGGATCAGGTAAGAAATATTGGTTATATATTTCAGAATCAAAGCAACAAACACAGCCATCTGAGACAAGGTAAGATTGTCCCACTGCCAATGTACTGTTTTGAACTACTGTTTCAGGTTGCAAACAAATAAGACCTTATGAAAGATTTCAGCCTAGTTTGTAGCAAGCAAAATGATCCGTAACGCGCTGCAAGAAAAATGCTTACCGCTGGGGTTGAAAGCCATGCAACAAATGGGTTTCTCGTGGGCTGGGAAGTGAGCCACGATGCCGTCACTATCTGAGTCCTCACTCACCAGCACCTGTGTAATAACACAGAAAATAGAAGGTGAGCAGTGCACTTACATTTGATTCTGTTACATTTGCAGTCCAGGGGTTCTTCTTTTTATTGAGTCACTCCTTACATAAAAGATAAAGCATAAAGAAAATGGCATATGCTAGCAAAGGGCCTCCTTCCACCAACCCAAGCATCTTCCACTGGAGTCAGAATTAGGTATGGCAAAAAACTAAGTAGGGTCAAACCTGGTTAGTATTTGAATAGGAAACAAGAAAAAAATCAGGGTTGTAGACCATTCAAGGAAGTTAAAAAAAAAAAAAATCCCAGAAGGCAAAGGCAAACTTCTTCCATAATTTTGCTAACAAAAATACACGGATGTTCCCATGAAATCACCAAGCATCAAATTCCACTTTACTTTTACCAAAAGTAGAGCTCACCAAATTCCCCCAGCAGTTCTTACTAACACAAACTTGTTAGAAGGAGGCACTTAACACTGTGCATACCCTCTCCTTCTGATTATGTGCCATCAAGTCAGTGTCAACTCTTAGTGATGACATAATTTCCTCCATGACAATCTGCCCCTAACCTGGCATTTTTAAAATTAATTTTTATTAAAGAAGTTTTTTACAAAGTAAAAACCTAACCTGGTCTTTCAGGTCTCCCAACATCGCACCCATCACCCCTGTAACTGAGTCCCTCCACCTGGCTGCTGGTCATCCTCTTCTCTTTCCCTCCACCTTTCCAGCATTAGAGCCTTCTCTAGAGAACCAGATCTTCACATAATGTGTCCAAAGTAGGACAACTGGAGCCTGGTCACCCTCTCCTTCTAATGGGGACTAATATTGGTAAGCAATGATACAGAAAAATGCATAAAGTGGTGGTTCATGCTCTCTGCATATGTAGCCACATGCTACTGCCAGAGAATGTGGAGCACAATGAGAAAGGGGTATGTGCTTGTGCCTGATTCTGTTGACTACTTGGATTTCCTGGATCTATTCAGAATTATTTATTTTCCTACTGCAGCACCCCTGTCTTCCAGCCCCAAACCTTGTCATATTGTTACCATGATGGAAAGCATAATATAAAATGCTTTCAGAGCCAACATTCATAAATCTAGGCAATCTCCTGTATAATGCAGAGAACTCTCAGGAATTTCCCCCTATTAAGTATCTCCCCCCTATTAAGAAGGAAGCAGAAGTAAGGAGGAATGCTTGAAAACAACATGAAGCCTCCTTTCTGTCAAGGCTTTAGAGATCCACACTCATCTTGTCAGCTGAATGACCTTCTTTGTGCAGGGAGAACTGATGGTTTCCAAAGGAGCAGACGAGACCCCAGCAGCTTAACTGTGAACATTTAGTTTTATCAACTGTTAAAGTCCCAAAGCAAGCCAACTTTGATAAGACTGTTTGGGTAGCAGGGTTATTTATAGGGTATCATGTATATGCACGTAATTCTGTATATGGGCTACCACAACATAATTAACCAAAGACCAGGCTTCACGTAACACAACTGCTACTTTTACATGCAATATTATGCCCAAACAAATCAATCATATAATGACTTAAAATGATGACTTGATTGACACAACATGGTATACAACCCACTAAAATGCTATCAAATTCTAGGTTAGCCCAGCCTGTTGTGCAAATGTTGTGTGTATATAACTGCCTTTACTTGAAGCAGTTATTTTGCCCCCACCTCCACAAAGCCAACCTTGAGGTTTTAAGTATAAAGCTCAGCATATTATGTAAACTAGGAGTATAACCATGGTATAATGCACATAACATACTTAAATAGGCATTAATGAAACATTACATAGTTTCCTTATTAATTTCTGATCTCCCTGCTTATATTTAATCACAACATCTCATTTTTGGATAGCAAATGTCTTATTTCCTTAGCCCATGTTGGAAGAAGTTTTGTTTTTTTGTTTTTGTTTTAACTTAAAGAACAGAAGAAACCATTTAAGAATTCAAATATTTTGTGAATTCTTGTAACCACAAAAACTTCTTCAACTGCATCCACAATCCAAAATCTAAGTCTTTAATATTCTTATTGCTGGAACGGCAGCACTTATATGTACAGATTCCCTTTCATGTTGCTGGCACAATGTTTTTAAGCACAAGTACTTTGATACATAAGGCCTGAAGAGGGAAAAGTGCTAATGGATCATCTGAAATGAACTGTGACAAACTTTAACAGGGCAATTCTGATTCTTCTTATGGATTAATGGCACTGTGATACCAAAGGAGACTTATACTGATAGGTACATTGGATTGTACTAAATTGCATGTCTATTGTGACTTGTAAAGAGTTACACAACATCAATAACGCTATTCATGTGGCTCTCCCCCCAAAAGAATCAGGCTCTTTCCCCCAGGAGAGGCCACAACTTGATAGTAGTTTTGTGCAATTGCCCTTATATATGCAGTGGATATGACATTATGCTGTGTGAAAAACAACACTATCTACTCCACAATCCAACTGAAGGTAGGCTGAATCTAATGGACCACTGAGACGGCTGTGGTCCTGTTGTTAAAACTGTTTATTCATCGAGGTCACGAGTATTCATTGAACTAGTTGTCTAATCATTATAGCTAGTCTAGAAGTATATTATTAGCATTTTTCTAAGCATCCCTCAAGTTAGACGTGAGAGTTTTGGCCAATGTTATGGCTGGTTTCTTTTTTCTCTTTAATCTGAACAGGAATTAATTGAAAAGAGGCATCCATCCAGTCCAACACAGTGATATAATGATTCTGCAAGTTGTGAAATGACAACAAAGGACAACCCAGATAAATACACACAGACACACACACACAAGACCACCTCTAAAAATATTCTAGTGAAAGGCAAACGTTAGCAGGGAAAAGGCTAACTACAACCAATGGGCAATCTCAGCAGCTGCTCTCCTTTTCATGCAATCTAGCATCAACTCAGAGCTGGCTTTGGCTCAGCCAGGTCCATTAATCTGCAACAAAAATGTCTTCCTGACAAAAAGCAGAGCTCCTTTAATAAAAGTTAAGGCAGACATTCTTAAGTTCAGAGGGAATCCTATGGCGAGAGAGAGACAGAGAGAGAGAGAGAGAGAGACTTCTTCTATAATGTACAAATGAAGACAAAGAAGAGATTGGGAGGAAGTCAATGCTCAGGGAAGTCAGTTATCATCTGTGAAAAGAGTGTTGCTGTAAATAAACACTGGCAACAACAGCCAATGAAAGCCAACATTGGTAGGTTCACGTTTTATTGTTGGAAGGTCATTTATCTGTTAAATGGTTGGCCTGGGGCCCAAAGGGTGGCTTTGCTCATAGATTCTTGATACTCGATAGGCTATTTTTGTTGGCTGCGGTTTTTTAAATCAATCCTTAACCAAATTGAAATTAAGTTTAGATATTGGTACAATCTGTCGCTCTCCTCTCCCTAATAGACTCTCAGCCTTCAATGTCACAAAGCAACATTTAAAAACAGAGGATTTACAGGGAAAGTATCAAGACCCGAGCTACAAATCTCCATTTGGAGTGCAGCCCCTTCAAGGATCAACCTTCACAACAAACTACAATCTGCTTTTTAAAGAATTCCAGCCAATTTTAAAGAGAAACCTACAATTTTGTTGCTCTGAATTGCTTCCAGCTTTTTACAAAAAGGTTGAACAGCACAATTTGAAAAGAATTAAAGTACTGTGTACCTCTATTCTACACATTCAAAGTTTATTTCACAGTACACCTTATTTTGCCCCAAATTTGGAGGATCCAATCTGGGCAAGTTTACCAGGCCTGCAAGTTCAATTCTAACTCATGACTTTAATGTCAGTTCTGCCTGTGACTCCTCTGGATGAAAGAATGTGTGTGCTAGGTCTGGATTTGAGTACTAGAATGCATCTATAAGTCTATGCATGAATGTCCTCTTGGATTCATATGGTTGTTTTTATTCTTTGCCCCTGCTCGTGTGTGCACAAAAACACTTATACTATAAATAATCAGCCATATAGTAGACTTGGCAGGTTTAGAGTCAAGCAAACTTTTAAAAAAGGCAGTTATTTCAGACAAACTCTGGGTGGTCCCCCACCTAATGAATTAATTAAGAAAAAATAAATAAAAAGGTCAAAAGAAAATATAACTCCAGTCACTAAAAGTTTATGTTTTTAATTTTAGGGGAGAGGGAGGGAAAAAGAAGAAATCTGTTTATATTTATTTTTACTCATTTTAGCTAATTAATGGCTCCAAGAAACAGGCATTACTTTTAAATGAAAAATTTGCTAACACTTCATTAAAAGGACATTTAAGCAAGTTCACAAACCTTAGTAATGTATTTGGGTTGACCACAGAGTTGTTTGAGCCTCTCAGTAATTATTTTTATCCAGATTTCAAATATGAACACAACAGCCAAATTTAATAACTCAAACTTTTTAAACAAAAAACAATGCTAGAGTTTTCTGAAAAACGATTAGAAAACTGTAAGATTACTATGTAAACAACTGCTACATTCAAAAACACCACTTCAAAAACTAATTAAGTTAACTCAGATATTTTCCTTTGAACAGATCTGAGCTAAACCTTTGCTCTTCCATATTACCTACACTTTTAAGTTAACTTTTTCTCTGCATCAGACCACTTGAGTTCAAATCTAATTCTGAACATAAATTATCTTGGACAAATCTTCTCTTTCTCGGATTGATGTGAGAGTAAGAAAGGCTAAAATCAGATTTAAAAATAGGCCACAAGAATTAGTATCTTGAAAAAAATGTTTTCCCGTCTGCTGTAGGCTTGCAAGAAGAGAGGAGGAAAGCTCTCCATGTTCTGCCAATAACAGGCCACATTTCTCCCCTAAACTCAAAGATGTGGGCTTCCTTTATGGCCAATACATTTAGTAACTATGCTAGGTATAGTAAAGATAACATCGTTTTTCAGCCTGCATTCACCAAGCAAGGAATTCCTGAACAGTTGAGGCTACCACTATAATGTGGGAAAATCTGTTACTGTCTCTGCCCTTTTAGGTTGCAGAGGATTTGGGCTATGGTATAACATGCC